GGAGTGTCTTTGACGTCCCGCTCGTATTATCGGTGCGGAGCAGAGCGGGGGACATCCTAAAGACTGACCGCTGATGATGGGCTGGATGTCTTGGAGGTGTTGCAGTCTGAATGGAAGTCGGTGTGCAGACAGGAAGTCCGCGGAGGCCCAGCTGGAGGAGGGGCCTCAGACTTGGTCAGTCCTGGTAAAGAGGGAGGAAGAAGGGCAGGAAGGGGAGGTGAGGTCGGAGCGGGACCAAGGAGTGGTGAGGGGGCTGAGGGAAAGAGGTGGGTGCTGGGTCAGTGACCAGTGCTGTTTATAGGCTGCAGCCCAGCTGCTTAGCCTTCTCCTGAGTGTCCTGCACGTGCTGCAGGCTGGCGCTGGAGTAGCCCTCATCGCTACAGCTGCTGCGCAGGCTGCCTCGCTCGTCCCCTGAGTCGCTCACGCTGCTGGTGCTCCACTCCAAGTCACCCAGCAGGTAGTCCGTCCCCTCCACGTCCACATCCAGGTCCTCTGTTTGAACAACAAGAACACAAACACGACACCATTAAAGAGCTGAATGACAACTATGTCATATTATTCATCTACTCAAGTTTCTCCGCTTATAGAGACGATGTTATTATTACTAGTAACACTAATTAAACAACTAGTGCGAGTTAATGGTGGATCCTGTACAACCAGCAGCAGCAGCTGGTAACTACCTGCTCTGCACATCCTGCAAAAGCTCTTTTTTCCTGTATTTAAAATCAATTCAATTCAATTCAATTTTATTTATATAGCGCCAAATCACAACAAAAGTCGCCTCAAGGCGTTGTTTAAATCCCCTTAAAACAACAGGGACAAAGCTACACAGCATAAGGGTGACACATGCACAGATCTGTTTTCATTTTAACCATTTAAAGGTTTTTGATTTTGCTCTTTTATTGAGTGACTTAATGCATTCAGGTTGTTTTATGTCATGTCCCTGTAACCCTGTCCAAATAGACAGAAAAAAAGAGAAAAAGTGAACACTGACAGTGCTCATTTGTGCCAGGAGGAACAGGATGAGCACTGTCAGAGCTACAAATGACTTCCAAACAGGCCGCTGGAGTGAATGTGTCTGACCAAACAATCAGACTTCATTGAGCGTGGACTGAGGTTTCCCACTGGGCCTGGTGCTAACTACACAGCACTGTGGAGCTGATTGGCATTTGCCATAGAGTACCAGATTTGGCATGTCCACCACTGTCGCCCTGTGTGTTTTTACAGATGAGAGCAGGAGCTCAGGGACGTCCTGGTCCAGATCTGGGAGGAAATGCACAGGACATTATCTGTTGTCTCATTAGAAGCATGCCCTGATATCATCAAGCATGCATATGATCCACAAACTATTACTTCTTCATGTTTCTTCTTTCCTCTTTTACATCATTTGCTTTGGAGGGAGGACATTAACCAGATGACTAAACAACAATGAATGCCACATAAATGGCACTCAGTATAAACTGCTGAGTATCATTTGGAGTTGCTGCAATGACATTTGTCAGAACGGAGGCGTTTGATGCATAATTTTTTTTACTTGGATTTTTGGGGTATTATTAAATTGAGCGCTCTGTAGGTTGATGACTTTTGTTTGTATCAAGAAATGTAGCATCCTTTCATTCCTAACACTTTACCTCGTCCACATCAGTATAGATATCCAGAATGTTTTTTTCAGATTAAGATCTGATGAGTGTGTTTTTATAAGCAGTGTATTTACTAAGACGCTTTACTTTGCACTGTGGAAGATTGTGTTTAGTGATGATGATGAAGACAATACCTGACACAAGAACAATAAAATGATGCCTATTCTGAACTTCCTGCACAACGGTTCACCTCCATATTTTTTCAAGTGCTTTGAGAGAAGATGTTAAACCATCTGAATATTTGCCCGGAGGTTCCAGACATGAAACACGTGAAGAGTGACATGAATAAAAGCATGTGGTGGTAAGGAAGTCGTCTGAGCTGGCCACAGCTCTGCCTGTGTGCAGCCTCACCCTGGTCAGAGTCGGACTTATCAGAGGACTGAGTGGAGCCGGTGCTGTCCATGCGGGTCCTCTCCACTCCCAGCTGCTCTAGACGCCTCCTCAGGTGTCTCTGCTCCCGTTGTAGCTGCTCCAAAGTGTGCTGAGCTTTCCTCTCGCTCTCCTCCAACCTCTGCAAGAAAGAAGGAGAGAAAACGGTGCGCTTCATGAACAGCTCCTAATCTGCTCCTGTGTACGTGTCCACAGCAGCTTATCAGCTACTGAAACACGCAATTACTAACACACTCAGCAACCGCAGCGGTCAACAAATTGCCCTCTTCACACCGATTAGGTGAGTGGTGCAGGCGCACATCCACGCACCTTGATGTGATCTTTGGCCTTCATCAGCAGGCTGAGGGTGGTGTGCCTGTTAGCATCTGGTCCCAAGGGAACGAGGGATTTCAAGCGCTCCAAACACAGTCGTAGATGTGCCCGTCTGAAGAGGAAAGATAAAAATGAAGGTGGAAGATGCTATTAAATGGACAGAAAAACAAAAAGCAAAAACAAAACAAGAAGGTTGGCCACTGAAATCTGATAATCCCTGATAAAAACTAGTCTTTACCTGAGCTTTGAAAAGCTGAATGCAAATATCTTAAACTATCCTGTTTTTTTCTCTCTACAAGAAGTTCTACTCTTGTATTGAAATTGACCTTTTACTTAAAATTCACTTGGATGATTGGGCTTCAAGGACTCAACCTCAGATTTTTCACTGAGGGGAAACAAGCAACCTCTTAAACTACATCCAGGGGAGATTTTGTCTTCATACTAAGAGCCCTGAAAGGACTGTGTTTACATTTCTCCAAATACTGACAAGTGAACAGGTGAATTATAACGGCAGTGTTTTTTGCCATCTTTTACTCTGACAAGCCTCGAATCAGTCTTGTGTCATTAGACTTTTCCAGGAACATGGGAAATAGGTGAAATGACTTATTCAAACATGTGCAAACACAGATGGAAATACAGTATATTAGGCAAAATCAGTGTTGGACAATTCTAATGAGTCTGGAAGCCAATACAGCTTCCTTTATTCCTCTACACAGCCTGAACTGCCTTAGGCAGGGCTTCCTGTCTTTCTTTAAGTGCTCTTCAGGAATAGTTCTCTGGGCTTCCTGAACGACATTCAAAGCTCTTTGGATGTTGGCTGCCTCTTGTTCTCTGCCAACACAATCCCACAATGTTGGACTTATTATTGAAGTACTGGCCAATCCATGACTGATGGAGTTCCATCGAGTTTTTCTATCCAGGTATACTTTTACTTCATTGGTAGCACGCATATTCTGATGCTAACATTTAGACAAGTTTAACGGCAGTCTTAAAAAACACAACAAACCAAATCCTAAAGTGATGTAATATGTATCCATGACTACTGCACAGTGACATGGTCAGATAATTAGGACCAATTAGCACTTCTGCGCCAGACTGCTGTGAGGACAGGACTCTTCTTTTCCTCATCTGTGGTATGTCTTGTCTCTACTTGTTGCAGGCGATCACAAGCAGCAGACAGTCCTTTCTGTTTCAGCAGGAAGTTAAAGCATTAAATAGAGTGGGAATACTTCCTTGTTGTGACAATAACTGTCATAGTCAGGGTGGAATTTCTTGTCCACTTCACACAAATTGAGTTAGTTCAAAGAGGAGATTTGCGTGCTGAAGCAATACCAGCCGATAAGTTCCTAGCATCAAAGCAAATATGAGGAACAAGCTGCAGTGAACTGCCTTTGTGCTCTTCAGGCCTCGTCAACCAGGTGTCATTACTGCAAGTATTTGTCAGACTGGAGCCACTAAACTTTCTCCTCTTTAATGCAACCTTTGGGATCAAAGAGTATAAAGGTAGGAGCAAACGGAAAGAGACGCCCTGTATGTTTCAGGAAGTCAGCAGTGTGTTAACTATTACATAATAGAGCTCGACAGGATGTGCGCCAACCGTCCTCTTAAACAAGAAGAAAACCAGAAAGCCATCTGCACCATATGTTCAGAACTGCAACTGATTATTGATGTCACTTGCCCTTTATACCCCCGTCACACACACCTATACACAGTTCACAGCCTCTGTTTCCACCTGTATGCCCCTCAGCCCCTCAGCTGGCAGCCTTGGCAATTTCTAAGGTCTGGTGGGTGTTGGTGACCACTTGACCCCGCTGTTACACAACACACACCTCCAGCTCCAGCCTCGTCACAGTGTGTACGTGTCTGTGCGCTTGTGTTTGCCTGAGCGAGTGGGCGTGTGTACGTCAGACTCTTCCTGAGAATGAGTGTAAAAATTGTTTTCTTTCTTTGTGACTGTGCAGCTGAGGGGCTGGCCGGCTGAGCCGCTCACTTGTTGTCTGCTGCAAATAATCCTAACGTGAGCGTCACTGCCGGAAAGAGTTTATTCAAATGGTGCGCATGGAGAGCTATGAAGCTGATTTGTCTCTGGGCAGTGGAAGCGCACAAATATATTCTCAACCCGTTGCCCTTTAAAAAGATAAACACACAATCGGCGAGCAGAGCCTTTGCACGCACATACAAAGCAGCTGAAGCCAAGTGCCTGCTTCTCAGCTGACTCAGTCCAAAGGACATGCAGACTGTCTTTACATAACATGGAAATGGTCCGGCCTGTGTTGTTCTGACATAATAAGGGCTGGCTAATGTTTGTTAAACACTGACAGAGAGCCGACTCAAACAGCACGAGTCACATGGCGATTCAGAGAAACACTACGGCGTGGTCCTAACACACAGCTATTCCAGTGACAGGTTATTCTGGTTCACTGTGTCAATAGGTAACTATACAGTAAATGTGGAGCTGCAGCCTCAGGCCACAGCCTACATTTCTCTGGCCTTGTTTCACGCTTGCATACGACTGACCTGAATGCATGTGTCTGGTCCAAAATGAGGTGAATGTGCCGCCTCAGTTTGTTACACTCAAAACAGTTGCAGCTGTTGTCACCCCTTTCACCCAAAATGGTTTCTCCCAACTAGGTCAGCTGGTGCACTTTGCCTGATTAGCAGTAAATCACCTCGCTTTCAGGGCTCTTGCCCTCTGACCTCTAACAGTGAGTGATTTAACCAAGCCAATACTGATGGAAGGGAGGTGGGTCTCATTGCACTCCTGAGGCTTTGCTGGCAGTGGGCTGCTGTGACTAATTTACTACTCGCCACTGGTGGCTTTCCATCATCACGTTAGTGGTGGGAGAAACTAGCTAAGTAGGTTCTCTAGTGGTCATAATTGTGTTTTACTGCAGGGTATGAGGTGTGTCCACAAACACATACAGAGGGCTCAGCCTGTCCACTGAGCGGCTGGTTTGGATCATCTAGCTCAGAGAGTGACAGCGATGGTATCAAAAGACTCCTATTGCTTTACATATGTAAACTGAGGACTTTACCATCATCCAAAAATGGCTTTTATCAATTGTTGGGACAGTTTATGTTCACATAAGCTAAAAGAAAATCAGCAAATTCAGGAAGCAGAATTGATTAACGAGTGTCGTGACAGTTTCAACTGTACCTAACTAACCGTTCAATGTTTTCACCTCCACCATCTCCTCTGATAACTTTTACATTTATTTCCATTACATAACCAAATTATCATGAATGAATGCTCTCCAAAATGTTGTCAAGACAACCAAGTTGTGCAGCACTGAAACCAGATCGGCTGCTCTCAGGAGCCAGAGAGCACAGTGAGCCACCTGATACAACCGTGACCCCGTCGTTCATCTCATCAGTGTCAGGAGGGCATCGTGACAAAACAGTGGCTCTGTTCAAGCATGAAACGATTCTCTCCTTAGTTCCTTTTGTTCATCATAACTTCCACCCCCCTCAAAAGAAATTACTTAACTACACCATAAAGCTCATTTTATTCTCATTACCCCCTTATCACCTAAATTCAAACTTGATTAGTTACGAGTTTACAAAAAAACAACACGTCCACCATGTCTAGATATGCCACGTCTCCCTTCTGCTTATCACGGGTTATACAGCTTACCTCTTACATAAGCTAACAGGGCAGTACACAAATAAAACGTATGCTTTTGTTTCACGATGGCAATGCGCCAAAAGAGAAAAGGTAAGGTTTGTTTAGGACTGTAATCTAGCTCAACTAGTTTCTCTGCAATCTGTGCATTCATGCAACAGGCGAGCCGTCAGTTCGTAACTGTAGGTTTCTTAATCCACCAGAAAGGCGCGTGATGTGAGCCTGTTTAATGTGCATCTGACCTACGTCGGGCCCATCCATATGCAGAAGGGATCCTGCTTCTCACGGGTCTGCAGTGCGGCTTCACCGATAACCCCGAGGATTCCACTGAATCGCGCTCAATAATTCACCTGATAAAAAGTTGAGGTCCAGCTTCACCTGTCTACATACGCGCTGCTTTTCTTTTGATCGCCCACTCATGCATGTAAGCAGGCTCATAAAAGAGGACCAACGAACACGTCACACCACATCACCAGAGATTCACCTACTACAATTTTAAAATCCTGATAGTCACTCTGAGAGCATTCACCTTAGATCTGGAACTTTAAAAAATGTACCTTCTTCCAAAAATGTTTCAGATTATATTACAGGTTACAGGACCTGAACTGGCACTGAACTAATTTAAAGACTTCCTCAGTGTGGGAGGGCATGGGGTAGCGTGAATTGATATTCTCATGGATTGAAGAACAACACAAACACACAGAGAGATTTGATTTCTTTTTTTTTTACCTGTTCTTTTCCATTTCGTTGTGTGTAGACCTGCAGAGATAAAACAAAACACATATGAAAAATCAGACATAATAAAAAAAGCCACTGATTAAAATGAAAAAAGCTAAGGCTTCCCCTTCTCCACATGCACCGCAATCCAGGCAGAGGAGGGAGCACGAGAGAAAGGGTTGTGTGGGAGTCTGTGAACAGCCGGAGCTGCTTACAAAATAAGATTCAAAGAGGGAAAAAAAGACAGAAAAAAATGAAGAAAAGCCTGGGTGTTCTTATGCCTGAGGCCTGTTTCATGGTGGAAGCTTTTTTTAAAGGACCACACTCGTACACAGATACGTGATGAGGGGCCCGACGGTAAACATAGTAACAGTAACCAGAAACAGTAGTAGTAGTAGATGGGACTCTGTCCCTTCATATTGCCTGATTATCCATTGTACATGCAAGCCTGAGCAGAGTGGGGGTGGGGGGAACACAGTGAAGGTAAAATGAGAGATAGAGGTGGGCTCGTGGCCAGCATGACTCTGTCATTGCAGTATTAAAACATCTCTCTATCTGTAACACTCACGCACACACACAGAAACGGGGTCAAGTGTAGGGTTTGGTAGAAATGTGTCTGACCTGTGAGAGAAAGGATAAACAGGAGAGCAGGTCACAAGCAGAGAAGAAGATCCCCTCTGCATTCCTGAACGCTCCTCAACCTCCACCTGAACCCCACCATCCACCCCCATGCTGAATCCCAAAATAGCCTCTGCATTTTTCCAGCTCTGCAAACTAATGCACTGTCCTGCCTACACACATACACACAAACACAACCTCAAAGGTGCCCCCTCGTGTGTAATCTCAGTTGCTGGGCCAAACCTGGGTTTAAAGCTCTGGGTTGACCATATTTTCACTGTGTCGCAGCGTGTCATTGCAGCATGTGTGTGGCTGTCTTTCTGCCACTCGCTTTGGGTGTTCTCTCTGTCACTTGGCCCCCTCTAGCCAGTGTACATTCCTGTGTGGGGCAGACAGCCGCTGGTGACATAACAGAGCTGGCAGGGAAGTGATCCCACTCACTGAGACTAGATTTCAGGCTCTGAGACACCTCATAGCTCTCTGCTACTTTACCAAACACACCTATGCCACCACAATGCAGAAGCAATATTTAAGATGACATGCTATGCTAATTTCCAACTCCATCACTGTTCTAGTTACTTAAAGTACAGTCATATGAAAAAGAAGGTTTCCACAGGAGAAAACTAAATACACACATGTTCTGCTTGCATAGGAACTAAACAGCAGCCAGGTGCTGCTAATTAAATGCATTTGCTTAACTGAGCATCTCCAAGTGTGAGCACCTCTATAAAAGCTGAGGTTTTTGCAGTTTGCTGGGCTGGAGCAGTCAGGTGTGTGTTAACACAGGGCCACAATCTTTCGAAGAGTGGATGGCCCAGCAAATTCCCTCTGTGCAGTGCTCAGAGAAACTACTGGGCTAGGTTAGTATGTTAAATATTAAAGTTCATAACAGTACAGTTCAAAAAAAGAATGAACATATGGTTGATTTGGAAAGACTGACAGGAGAAAGTCTCTTCTCTCCCCTAAAAGAACATAGCAGCACAGTTTAGGGTCCCAAAGTTGCACCTGAACAAACCCAAACAATTTGGAAACAATGTCCTTTAGACAGATGAGACCAAATTGGAGATGTTTGGCTATACTACACAGTGCCAGCCCAAAGACCACATATTAACTTATAGAGGGGTGCTGACTTGGACGTATGTTGCAGGCACAGGATTTGGACACCTTACAATCACTCAGTCAACCATGAATTTCTCTGTATAATAAAGTATTGTGAATTATAATGTGAGGCCATCTGTCTGACAGATAAAGCTTGGCTCAAACAGAACGACTAAAAAGAAAATAATTAAGATTCTGCAGTGTCAAAGTTCAGACCTCAACCTTACTGAAATGCTGTGGTGCAATCTTAAGTGAGAAGTGCATCAAAAATACCTGCAAACCCAATGAACTGAACCAATGCTGTCAAGACAAGTAGGTCAAAATTCCTCAATAATGATGTGAGAGACAGATAAAGTCATAAGGAGACAGCTACTTCAAGGTATTGCTTAAAGGTGGTTCTACAAGCTTCTGAATCTTGGGAAAGTACTTTTTTTCACAGAACTATACAGAGCCTTGTGACAGACAGGCTTGTGGGTCAACCTCAACATTTGTTTTTGGAGAGGAAATCACTGACCAAAAATAGAGAAAACGCACAACAAACAAGTCTCGCTAAATGAGCTTCTGTCACCTCAGAGGTCCTCAGAAGGTTAGATACAAACGATTCACCAGTGCACTTTTCTTTCAGCTGCATCAGCCTGAACAACACGGCGTGATGACCACCGAAAGGCACCAGTTGACTGCACTGTAGTTGCGTATTGTATGAATGTGTGTGTTTGTGAGTGAGGAGGGGGAGGACTCTTTCTCCTTGTCTGTAATGGAGGCGCTGCTGTTCTCCACTGACGGCCAAAAGTGAGAGCAGAGCAGGAAAGACACAGGAGGATGGAGGAGGTGAGGAGAGAGAAATGCGAGAGGGAGACAGAGAGAGAAATGAGGGGGAGGGTGGACTCCTTACTACTGACACACATGCACACGTCCACGCCAGAAACATGGCGAGTCCCCTCCCCCACTACTACTACTCACACATCTACGCTTCGGGGAAAATGGCAGAAACCGGAGGGGCTTATGTACAAATTCAAATATAAATGCCTGCCCTATATTTGACCAGAATCAGCAGCAGAAACAACATAAAAACTGATCAAATAACACCAATTAATTGATTAGATCTTTTCTAGCAGAGATCAACCCTTCCCCCCGCCCCCCCAGGATGTAAATTTATTCTGTACTGTTAATCACCAAGAGACAATGTCAGATTCGACTACATCAAATCATCGTTGCAGAGATACCCTTATTAATGCCGTGTGATTCTGCTGCCCTTAAATAGCAATGAGTAATAGCTGAAAAAATGCTTCAGAACTGGAAATGGAAAAAGGAAAGGCCGGTTGTTGTTTTTGTTTTTTTACCAGAAATAGCAACAAACCAAGTAAACCTACTCTAAAAACCTGGAGCCATCTACACATGCTAGGACATGATCTGAGTTAGAAGCATGTCTTTTCAATACTCTACACTGTGTTTTTGAAATCACAGCAGAAATGGTAGCACACTCCAAATTTGTCACAGTCACTTTTGTCTAAATCAACTGATATATTGCTCGATGTATTGAATAAGCAGTTGTTTCCTTTAATAAAGAAGACAGATTCTGTATATTTTCAACTTCATATATTTATTTCTAGACCAGAGGAGCTTTGCATAATTTACAGTTCAAAATAATGGTCATATATCTCTCCTAATGGGCCTTTGTGCCGCCGTTCAGTTCACAATCCACGCGAAAGAAGCTGCTTTAGCTCCCCTACCCCTTTAAGGCAACTTTCTTGTGATTGCCCCACATGAAGAGAAGGTTTGCAGAGGAGGTGGGTGGGGCTTCTGAGATCACAATCAGACTTGATTTTGTCAGAGACAAACATTAACGCTCTCATTGACATCATACACAGCTACGAATATATTAAAAAATATATTTAAAAAATGTCCTAAATTCATATTTATCTTATAGCAGGCCTTAGTGCAGCTCCATCACTTCATTAACTGTGAAACAAGCCGCTTTTAGCTCTTCTCCTTTAACACCACAATTCTCTGAACTAAGCTTTCCTCTGATTAACTGTCCCTCATAAAGACATTGACTGATCAGCAGATTGGTGAAGCTGCTATGCTCACAACCAGAGCTGCATACACTCTCTGACATGATAAAGATCCCAGAGTAGAAACAAAACTGTCTGAAGCCCGAGTAATTGGCTTTCTGGGATTACTGGGACATACTCAGATGTCATTATTTAAACCTTTGACCATATTTAGTATGAACATCATAACTGTATAGATAAGACAGGAAATTTATATTTCAGACATGATGCTGGTTTCTATAAGTTGGCTAAACTGTTTTCTTTTGACTACACTTGAATTCTTGTTATTAGATTAACCATCCAGAGTCAGGCTGTTCAGCTTTATGAGTCACAAGATGCACCTCAACTTCTTCCAAATTTATTTCCTCCATTGCACATTTAGTTTTCCCTCTTTTATTGTTTACTTTTAGTTACGTCAGTCACTTACAGAAAACCGCAGTGTTTTTTTTTTTAAGTATGCCAATGATCAGGAATAACAGGAAAATGTCTAGATTTCTATCAAATCAGAGGCAGATGTAACTGCTACAAAAACCATACATTTACAGGAGTAGAAAAGAGTGTTGATAGTCCAGAAAATATACCTACAATCCTACATCAGATGAGTCCTACATAAAGCAGATTGCGCACCCCAGCATATATTTTCTGCACTGGTGGATGAACAATGGATGGATGAACAGTGTACCCTCATGGCAATACACCTGATACACCTGTTTGACCAACAAAGCATGTCTCTGGAATATTTTTAGGGGTTTTATGAAACTCTTCTGTAACTGTAGCATCGAAACTTTTTATTGCAGCTTCATGCAATATGAACCATCAAGCACTTTAAAATATGTATATTAATTACTGGATCTGTGCAAACAGCTGGTGGTGCTCTCATCAGTTGCTTCTTTGATCTGCTGCTTTTTTTTAATGTTTGAATGAAAAGAAGGCACATAAAGGTTGGGATCAACAATATGTCAGTTTTGTGTTTACTGAAGGACAGAAGCAGGTGCCTAGATGTCACTGTTTTATCTGAAAAGATCAGTTTCCAACAGCCTTTAACGGACTTCATCTTCTCTGTTGAAACAATCACCTGCAGTAGGTTAAACCTGCCTTTTTTGTGTAAACTTTGTACACACAGGAGATAACTTCCTACACAGGATCATGACAGCCAACTGGAGTCCAATCGCAGAGTGCAAATTGATCTGTGGATTGCAGAGGCAACACAAATCTGTCCTCATACCATTGATTTACGGAATTCAGGTTAGAGACTCTAAATTGACTAGTGTCCACTTAGATGACAAGCGCAGCCCGGACTCACCACCCCCACCCTCACTTAAACGTCTTCTGCAGTCACCTTGACTGACCCACTTTTCCTTACTGTGGGGTCATTGACTTTAAGCCAGGATGACGTTTCAAATCAAATCAAAATTTATTTATATAGCACATATTAAAACAAC